TTTTATACCAAATGTTTATTTCTTGGTCACAAATTAAAGGGGGATTATTGCTCTTTAAAATGTGACTATTGCAAGTTTTTTCTGTAAACTGTAATAGCAAACGTACGTTGTTTTTGCGTTGATTGAATCCCATAGGGCCACCGCGCTACTATGTGTGTCGGCGCCTATGGATTTTTCTGATGGCTGGCGGCCGGCGGGTCGCTAGTTTCACCGAGCCAATTAAATATTATGAAATTAAATTAATTTCAAATTAATATTTGAATCATTTAAATATTTATTTATTAAATAAAATGTATGAATAGCAAAAATCGAATCTTTCGAAAATTATTCGATAATTTAGTTTTAATTTACTGACAAATCAAAATTAATTTTATTTATTATTCAATTGTATTTTAATAGAAATTAAATTTCTTTTTAATTAAAATAGAGATTATTAATTGGAAAAATTGAATTATTCAAATGTTTTTATCAAGTTATTTAAATAATAATTTTCGAAACATTTCGAAATAAATTATAAATAAATTTTGGATCTAATTTATTGCAAAAATAAATCAAAAAATGATTTATTTATTTTTCAATTGTATTTTAGTAGAAAATAAATTTTTCTATAATTCTAATTGAGTAATTAAATTCATTAATTAAAGGGAAAGCAAATTCATTAATCAAATACCACTGTCATGGCGACTCACCATTATTTCACTTGTATTTTGCCCGAAAGATAGAAAATATTTGGATAAGAGGTTAACTCCTGGAGATGTTGATCGCCTTGCAATAAATAAAAATCTCCACATCTTTGGAAAATATAGTGAAAAATTAATTTCCGTCCGGATCAACTTTCTTTGCCGGTGTAAATCGTCATAGGCAGAATCTGAAACAAATCAAAATTTCGATCGATAATCGTCTCGTCAATACAGCGTAGGCGGGAAAAATCCCGCAATTTCGTTCAATATAAACAAAATGGCGGCTCATCCACCCCCACATAGTAACAATGTCGATTTGTTTTTCCATTGTTCATGTTTATTGTTGTATTAACAAACATTATTGATTTTTCAATCGTGTTATTTTTCGTCAATACAACAATATCAACAATATTGACGAAAAATAACACGATTGAAAAATCAATAATGTTGACTGATTTTTCGCTGAATAAACCAATATAGCCGTTCAGCAAACAACCAAAAACGAGCGATCAACAATGTTCAACACTCCGGAGACAGTAAAAATCAACAATTAGTCAGGATTTACAGTAAATTTACCTGCAATCTCGAAGAAAAAAGAAGAATAATTCAGTGATTACTACTCCGAACAAGTGGGGAAAAATGGTGGCGTGACAATGACCCAGATTCCACATTGCGAAAACGAAGGAATATAGGAACATGAAAAAGGAATGTGGAACGAACTAAAAAAGATGGAAGGGGAGAAATTGTGGGAAACTTGCACGGGTTGCATGGAGTTGCACGTATATTTTTTATCAATTAATCACTAATATTTCACACTTTATATGACTATTTTCGGTATTATTACTATTATCCCGATTGTATATTACGATATTTTATTAAAAGTAATTAGAATTAATCAAATATACTCACTGAAATATGAAAATCGGAAGACGAACGATATGGAAACGACCAGCCTAGCAGCGAAGCGACTCTCAACGAAGCAATGCTGCCAACCTAAAGTATACAAAGTTACTAGAAACGCCTCCGCGCCATCTGGCAACGTAATAACGAAAAAATTCAAATATTTAATAAAACAATTTAATTTATTAATGCAAAATAGTTAATAATTAATATGAAAAATAACAAAATAAAGGTAAATTCTATAAAAACATTAAAAACAAAAGAAAATATTAATCCAAAAGGGGAAAAATAGTATATTTTACACTGAAAATATTATTCTTTTCCTTCTTATTATCAATCACAATTATTTCTGTTTTATGAAAAAAAATTTTTTTAAATGAATTAAATTAAAAAATTTAAATAATTAATAACAAAATAAAAAAAGATTATTATCGAAATTTCTTTCAGTTATTAACTAATTAATTAAAATTGTAAACTAATTGATTTTTTTAAACTAATAATTAACAAAATACAGATAAATAAAATAATTAACGAATAATTAATTATAATGATAACTAATTAATTATAATTAATTTATTAGTAATGTAAATAATATAAATAATTAACAAAATTTTAATTAAGAAAATTTTTCTAAAATAAAAAATTAAAGATATTACGAATAAATAAAAAATGTGTTTATTAAGGTAGATATTTAATTATAATTATAACTAATTAATTAATTAGTAATGTAAATAATATAAATATTTAACAAAATTTTAATAAATTTGAAAATTTTTCTAAAATAAAAAATTAAAGATATTACGAATAAACAAAAAATATAAATGTTAATGTAAATTAATATTTATTTGTTTAAAAATTTGTAGAATATTTCTCCTTTTTACTCGATTGTGTAAAATGTATCACCCGGTATGTGTATATACTCGGTGAATAAAAAGTTATCTAAAAAATTAATTTTTTCCTTTTTCAAATTAATTTTTTTACATTTGAGTTTCAAATGAAAAATTTTATTCTTTGTAACGTTAAAAATAAAATATAAAGTCTTTATGAGAAAAATTATTTTTGATATTAGGGAGAAATTTATCTATTTTCAATTCGCATTTCACGCCAGGTATTTATTTTCCACCGAGTATATTCACACACCCGGTGGTACAAAACTAACTCTCGTACACCTACAGTTTATAAAATATAAAAAAAACGATTCTGAAAAAAATTATATATTTATTATTGCAAATTGTAATTTGATATTTACTTACGAAAAAAATTGTGCCACCCGAAGAATTAATTTATTTAGAAAAAATTCTAATTTTATTCCTGGACTGCCCGAATGGAACTGAAAAAAAATTAATATAATTTATTTAAAGTAGAAACAATTGTTTTTAATAAGTAAAATAATTTTTATTAATAATTTTTATTAATAAAAAATAATTTTTAATAATTACTACTGGTAATAATTTTGTTATTAAGTTCGTTAACAAATTTTATCGAATATAACGAAAACACATTGAAAACAATAATACAGTCGGGTCCCCATACTGTTACATTTCCAGAAATTTCCCACTCCTCCAGACTCAGCTCTGTTATGTGCTCAAAGTATGCCTACTGCGCACCTTTCAGGAACGTAAATATATAAACCTCAAGTTTGGCCTAGAAGTATATGCCCCCTTTTCTTTGGGCTTAAGAATACGGCCCTGAAAATTGGTGACGTCACCTAACACTTCTGAATTTGGAGGTTATGCAAAAACATAACACTACTGAGGACATAACAGTTTGGAATCTAACAGTATGGGGACCTGACTGTATTTGTCAATAATTTTAAATTAGTGCAATATATTTATTTTACAATCGTAAAATTAACTAATAATAATTTCTAATATAAATAATTATTTTATAATTATAAAATAATTATAATTCTTATTATTTATAAAATAATTACAATTTATTATTAAGTAAATTAAAAATAATCATTTTATTGTAACTGTTCTTTTTACGATTTAAAAAATATAATTTTACTATTATAATATTTATTTACGATAGTTTTCTGATTTTTAAAAATTAAAATTAAAATAATAATTATATTATTAAAAAATCAATAAAAAAAGTTAAACGAGGAATAATTAATGATTAAAAAATAATAATTTTGATTTTGAAAGATAAAAATGAAAATAATTATTATATTATTAAAAAAAATCGATAAAAACAATTAAGCGAGGAGTAATGAATGATTAAAAAATAAAATTTGAAGTACTCAGTAAACCCAGGCAATAAAATTGTAACAATTTTATTTTCTCCGAGTTTTTAGTGTTTTTATTCTCACGTTCCAATTGCTTAAAATTATTGACCTATATTATTGTATGCTCTAAAGGTCTAAATTACGAAACACGAGAGTAACACAATAAATTTATATAATTTATAAACGCCTTTTTTTTCATTTTGTACCGTGTGCGTATATAAGCATATGCGGTGATAATTATAATGAATTCAACACACTTCTCGTAATTGAAACGAATTAAAAGAAAAAAAATTAAAGCAAAAAAAAAAGAATGATTCGTTTGTGGTTATATTTACCATTTTTTTTTTTCGTCTTCGTTGTCCAATAAAATAATTTTCCAAGGCGACAAAAGTAAATTCCCAAAAAAAGACCTGCATAAACGATCTTATTTGACCATTGACCCTTTATGGAATATATTTGGGAACATTAGACTGTTTTTTGTTCCTCTTATTAGCATCAACGTGACTCTGCTTTTTCAGTTTTTTGATTAGTTTAGCCTCTTTTTCATTTTTTTTTTGATGTTATTATTAAAAACGGAGATAATTTAATTCATTTGAAAGAATACAGAATTGTACGTCGTCAAATGCGGAAACTACTTCTTCTGAAACAAAACGAATTTATTTTAACACTATAAAAAACAGTAGTTAAATAAATTTTATTACTTGAATTACTATTATTATAATAAATTATTATTACGTGCGAGACATTCAAGAATTTAAACGAATTATAGGTTATGTTTGTATTAGATTCGTTGGATTCGTTATAGATTTATTATCATCTTTTGATTAAAAGTTCGTTTTTTAATTATATATATAAATTTAAAATCAACTTTTATGGAATATTTTGGATTTAACTCAGAGTTATTAGTTAATTTGCAGTAGTCATTGATTCTATTTCTTTTTTACTCCCAAAAAAGGTCGTGTCACCGATGTGCGTCAAAAAGTTGTAAACATAACCTAAAATTTTTTGCTTCTTAGTTCTTAATACCTTTTTTTATAAGAGCGCGTTGCACGTTATTGTTATTGTTGTATAAAAATACTAAATTCTTTTTGTAAGGGATTTTTATTCGCAAATAAATGAGAATAGAAATAAATTGCTTCGAGTTAGCAAAAAAAGGAAAATAGATATTGCAAGAAATTAATATTTCGCAGGTAAATGGAAATGGGGTTCTGTCGTTCGCGAGGTCGATGCAAAGGTTTTTTAATATTGCTTTTCCACTGGATGATCCCGTGATAGCGCCACTTTATACTCACGTGGATACTCGAGGATCAGGAACGATTTATTGGACTGAAACAAATGCGCCGGAAATCCTTGCAAGGGCTGGTGGTATGGTTAGAAATTCTTTCAAAGGTGCTTTTCAATTTCAACCGACGCACGTTTTTCTTGCAACCTGGTTAGACGTTGGATACTACAATGAAAAAAGTGACAAGGTAATAAAGATAAACAAAAAATTCTCCAAAAGAATTAATCGAATTGAAGTGCTCGAAGTGTCAATTTAAATTGACTTACTTTTAGGTTATGTTAAAGAATTTAACCGAATTGTTATGTTTGTTTTGTTTATTTATATATTCCATTTTATATTTTTCCACTATTTTCTTAAATATCGTTCTCACTAATTATCGGTCAAAATTAAGTTTCATTTCAGTTTTCTTTTACTGGTATTTTTTACTAATTGGGATAATTAAGCCGCACGGTGACGCACGATTTGACGTTAGACTGCGACAATTGAAATGAGGATTAATAATTTCTTTATACGAAAATTTTTAGTTTTAAAAAACAATACTTGGTAATTTTCAAAATAACCCAGAAAGCTATTATGTGCAGAATAAATTAGTTATTTTGACTATAAAATAAAGGAAAATTAATATAATTGTTAAAAATAATTACCATAGGTGAATACATATCAAGCGGCGATATCCTCAAATGGAACTCATTCTTACGTCGAATTATTGTATCCACGTGATGGAATACAATGGATTCAAGCAGAATCTCATCCTAATGGACTTCCGGATGCAAAAGCTCAAGCTGGATTTATGAGTGAGGGAAGAATTTACGCTCTCACCGGTTCTGGAACGGATCAAATTCAAAACATCGACAAGTAAAATACCTTTCTTCACGGCCTTTTCATTTAACGTTTTAAAAAATGTTTTTTGCTTTTTTTACTATTTTTTACTCTTTCTTACTACATTTAATTATTTTTCTTTACTATTTTTACTACTTTTTACTATTTTTACTATTTTTACTCTATTTTTCACTATTGATTCTGTTTTAATCGATTTTATTTTCTCTCTTTTCAAGATTGTCCAATATTAATAGACCTGGCCATTGGATTTTCCAAGTTGGACCAATTCGCGATCATGCAAATGTCAAACAACCAGATAATGTCGAAGGTTTATTAATTTATTCATATTTCTATTATATATTTATAATTTTATATTAATTTAATTATTGTAAAATTTATTTTTTATTTTTCTACTTTTATTTATTATTTTTTTTATCACAGTTTACGTGGTGAGTTTTTTCGGTCTTTATTTGGAGCTAAAGGTCTCTATGCGACAAAAAAAATCGCAAAAATTCAATTATGTTCAAAAATTTTTTATAATTCTCATGAAAATTTAAATTATCTTTTATAAATGATAAAATTCTTATCTAAAATTCAATTATTTTCAAAAATTTCAATAAAATTCGCATAAAAATTTCAATTCTTTTCAAAAATAACAATATTCATCAGAAAAATTCAATTATTCTCCAAAGCAATAAAATTCTTTGCAAAAATTCAATTTTTTTCAAAGTTTTTTTAAATTTTTGAAAAAAATTCCATTATTTTTCAAAGCTATCAAATTCTTTGCAAAAATTCAATTATTAATAATTTTTTTTTTTAATTTTTGAAATAAAATTTAATTGTTTTTATAAATAATAAAATTTTGAGTCAAACATTCAATTATTTTCAAAATTTTCAAATACAATTCGTGTCAAAATTTCAATTATTTCCAAAAAATTTAATAAAGTTCGTGTAAAAATTTCAATTATTTTCAAAAAAAAACAATATTCATCACGAAAATTCAATTATTTTCCAAAGCAATCAAATTCTTTATATAATATATAAATAGCAAAATTTTTCACCAAAATTCCATGATTTACAAAATTTTAATAAAACTCTTGTCAAAATTTAAATTATTTATAAAAGTAACAATATTTATCACAAAAATTCAATTATTTTCTAAATTTTCTTTATATTTAATTGAAGAATTTCCGAATAATCGAAATTTCTGTAAAATTGAATTGTAAATAAATAACTTTGAAAATTCTCAAAGAACATTTTTGAAAATTATTAATAATAATTGATTTATAGAGAAGAATTTTAGTTAAAAATTCTTAAAAATAATAATTTATTACAAAAAGAAGTTATTGATGTTTTCGAATGATTTTCCAATTAAAGAAATTTTTAAATAAATAGAACATTTTTTTGACTATCTAATAATTTTTAGAGTGAATAAGAATATTCTTTTTTATTGTCAGGGAAAAAATGAAAATTTTGTCTGGAAATTAGGGAAAAGTCAGGGAAAAACAAAATTAAATTTTTGTGCCAACTAAAAATATTTGTAGCAAGATCCTTTCACCGGAAAACGTCACAAGATTGAACAATAAATTTTGCTTTTCCTAATTATTTTATTATTTTTCAGATTCAATGTCAAATCAGTTGAAAACGTGTTCGATTGGAGCGACAAGTTGTCACAGTAAAGCTAATTGCGTTGATTACGAAAGTGGATTCTGTTGTCACTGTAAAGAAGGACACTTTGGAAATGGAAAATCCTGTTTGCCGATCGGTAATGAATTAATTAAAATTACATTTTCTCTTGTAAGAAAATATTTCTAAAATATCTTTTTTTTCTATTTCAAGCAATTAAAATTTTACAAACGAAAAAAAATAAAGAAATGGAAAGACTTAAAAAGTCTCTGAAATCTATTCATAGTTTGCGATACGCCCAGGACATCTAACAACTTTTCTCAGTATATTTATGTACAAAACGACCATGCATCATGTATGAAATGAGTCGTAAGACCCTTTGAGAAAATCCTTTTGCTCTCAGATGCATTACACGACCCCTTAAAAATAAAATGGGAGAAATTTCTTTTCAAACGAATATTTCATAGCCTTTTGACTAAAAAATTCTCTTGGGATTTTTGTTTTGTTACCTGCGTAAATAAAAATAGATTTTTAGAAAGAAATTTAATTTGTAATTTTTAATATTTTGAAAAAATATGTAAAGAGTTAAAGGAAATAAGATTCGTCAGGATAAATATATATAATTTGTCAACTTTTCAGATATACCATTGAGGGTGATTGGCAGAATGTCAGGAACTATTAATGGCGAAAGTTTCGAGGATAAAGATCTTCAGTGCTACGTTCAAACCAAGGACGGAAGAACGTATACAGCTATATCGAGAGTACCGGAAGCCGTTGGTCCCAGCTTCCAACTACTTAGCAATCTAGGCAGCGTTATTGGATGGCTCTTCGCCAAACCGATTGGAGAAACTAAAAACGGATTTCAACTTACCGGTTAGACTCCAATTTGACGAGATTTTTATTTCTTTTCTTCAATTTAACAGATACGAGAAGAGAAAATTTATCCGAACATAAATGATGGATCGGATTTTTTTTTCTCTTCTAGTTTATCAAGAAGTTAACTGAATAGAAAATTCACCAAAAAACTTCTATTTGCCGACATTTAATAAATAATTTTCAGGTGGAGTATTCAATCACACGGCTGAATTACGATTTTCCTCATCGGGACATGAGGTGACAATTCGCAGTTATTTCATGGGTCAGGACGTATTCGGTCAATTGAAAGTCAATGTCGAGGTGAAAGGAACAATTCCACGATTGGAGAATGATGCACGAATTGAATTTACCGATTACGATGAACTTTTAACACGTGTTCATTCCGGTTCAATTCGTTCGAATTCGGAGAAAATTTACAAATTAATAGGCGTACCGGCTGATTTTAAATACACATTGGATCAAATTTTCACTTTTCCGGAATGTGCGTACGCACCGAAAATGGAACAGGAGACAATGAGATTGAAATTTTCGAGAGGTGTTATTACTTATGAGGCGAGAGAAGGAATTATTCGTTATGCAATGAATTCGAAAATTGCCCCACTTGAGGAGGAGGATCCTTGCATTCAGGGAAGAAGCACGTGCAGTGAACATAGTTCTTGTATTGTCGATGGTGACGATTTTAAATGTGTTTGCAATCCAGGGTAAAATTGATTATTAACTTTATTTATTGAGCTTGTTTACAATGCAGGACTCGGACCAAAGAGAATGTATTTAAAAATACGGACTTTACGAATGAAATATTAAAAATTACGGATTAATTACTGACAAAAATATAACCAGTCCGAGTCAAATAAGAAAACATTTTACTTAAAAATATTAATTAAATCATTTTATAACATTTTAACATTATAACATTTCATAATTTCAATTCAATTATTATCTACAATTTTTACCTAAAATTCTTCTTTATGTAAATCAATTATTTTTAATAATTTTTGAAGAAGTTCTTTGAGAATTTTCCAATCCCTTTGTTTTCAATTCAATTTTACGAAATTTCGAGTATTCGGAAATTCTTCAATTAAATATTTATTAGAAAATAAAAACTTCAAATAATTACAAAAAAATTCAATTAAACTTTTTCAAAAATATTAATTCTACAGAATTATTAGTAAAAGAATGAAAAATTAAGATTTCCAAAAATTTTAATTTCAAACCTTTACACAATTCAAATTCTTCTAAGAATTCACGCTGTAACGATTTTAATATTTAATTATTATCTAAAATTTTAACTGTAATTCTTATTTAAATCAATTTTTTTAAATTTAGAGAATTTAAAATTTCTTTTTAAATTCTACGAGAATTCAATTATTCAAATACAAAACTAAATAATTTAATTCTTTTGGCGATTTTTAACAACATTTCTATGATTACTCACATTTTTTTAAGGAATTGGATTAAAATTGTATTAAAAATAATTGAAAATCTTCAAGTTTTATTATGCCTGAAAATAATTAAATATCTGTAAAAAATTTCATTATTTATGAATATAATTGAATAATTGCGAAGAATTAAGGAAAGAATTTATCAATTTTTTGTGAAATAATTGAATTTTTTAGAAGAATTTTATTATTTATGAAAATAATTGAATTTTCGCGAAGAATTTTATTTAATTTTTTTTTAAATAATTGAATTTTGGTGAAAGAATTTATTATTTGAGAAAATAATTGAATAATTGTGAAAAATTAAAGAAAAAATTCAAGAATTTATCAATTTTTTAAAAAATAATTGAATTTCTGAGAAGAAATTTATTATTTATGGAAATAATTGAATTTTTGCGAAGAATTGTATTTAATTTTTCTTAAATAATTGAATTCTCGTGGAAAATTTTATTATTTGGGAAAATAATTGAATAATTGTGAAGAATTAAAGAAAGAATTCAAGAATTTATCAATTTTTTAAAAAATAATTGAATTTCTGAGAAGAATTTTATTATTTATAAAGATAATTGAAATTTTAACAAGAATTTAAAAAAAAATTTTGAAATTAATTAAATATTTGTAATTGCGTAGAATTATATTAAAATTTTTTTTTAAGTAATTGAATTCTTTTAGAAAATTTTATTATAAATTTTTAAATAATTGAATTTTGGAGAAGACTTATTATTTCTAAATATAACTGAAATTTTGACGAGAATTTTTTTTTAAATAAAATTCAATTTTAGCGAAATATTTTATTGTTGAAAATAATAGAATTTTTGTGAAAAATTTTATTATTTACGAAAATAATGAAATTTTGTAAAGAATTTTATGAAAATTCCTGAAAGTAATTGAATATTTCTGGGAAGAATTTTGATATTTATTAATAGAATTGAATTCTCGAGGAGAATTTCATTAACATTTTTTAAATAATTGAATTTCAGTGAAAAAATATATTATTTGTGAAAATAATTAAATTCTTGCGAAGAATTTTATTAAAATTTTTCAAATAATTGAAATCCAGTGAATAATTTTATTATTTGTGAAAATAATTGAATGATTTGCGAAGAAATTTATAAATAATTTGCAAATAATTGGATTTATGTGAAATTTTTATTATTTATGAGAATAATTAAATGTTTGCATAGAATTTTATTAAAATGTTTTTTAAGTAATTGAATTCTTTTGGAAAATTATATTAAAATTTTTGAAATAATTGAATTTTGTAGAAGACTTTTATTATTCATAAATATAATTGAAATTTTGACGAGAATTTTAAAATATTTTTGAACATAATTGAATTTTTGCGAAGAATTTTATTACTTTTGAAAATAATTGAATTTCTGCAATCGTTTGTAACTTCTCAAAAATTCTCCAAATTATATCGTATAATTTATAAACTTTTTGTACTTTTTCAAACAAATTACGAACTTTACGGACATTTTTAAAAAAAAACTGACTTTTACAGACTTCAATAAAGTTTACGGACCTATTTCGAGTCCTGACAATGTTTAGTAAAATTACATCTCGTATTAAAAAATATTTTTAAAAAACGTATAAATAATTAAATTGAACAATTTTCAGATATCAATATCTTTATAAGGAAGATAATTCTGCGACTTGTATCGATATTAACGAATGCACAGCTGGTAATCACGTTTGCTCTCCCGATGCTTATTGTATTAACAACGAGGGAAGCCACTCGTGTAATTGTAAACCTGGTTATCAAGGGGATGGACGAATTTGCGATAGTAAGATCATCTCTGCTTTTTAACTATGTATTTATAATCAATTTATTTTTACTCGTCAGTTAATTTTATAATTAATGTACCTGAAGTTATTGTCGACGCTCAGCAACGAAAAATATTTGAGAATTTTAAAGATAGAATTTCTTATATTCATCTAGAGTTAAAAAAAAATTTCATAGTACTTTTTGAATCTAAAAACTTCAAAAAAATAGTTTTCTTCCTTTTGAATTTTTTTTCATAACGAAAAACAATTCTTATTGACGCTCAGCGTCGACGCTAAATTCAGGGACCTATGTATCATTTAATTTTAGTGTTTTATTTTTATTTTTTTTATTGAATTTATTTTAGAAATACCAACTTGCGATGAGACGCGTTGTTTGGAAAATGAAGAATGTCAGATAATTGGAGGTCTCCCAATATGCACCTGTATTCCTGGATACGATACTGTTGATCAAGTTTGCTCTCCAGTTTCCCAATGTGAGTCACTTTTGTTATATTGAATTTAAAGTACTTACAACATATTAATTTTAGTTCAAGTCAAATTTAACTTGAATTTATTGAAAGTGAACTTACCGTTGATATCAATTTTCAGCAACACCTTGTAATGTCGAAAACAATTGTTCACCATACGGCCTTTGCAGTTACGATGGAAATAGACAAGTTCACGTTTGTACTTGCCAACCGGGTTACACAGGTAAATTGAAACAAGAGAAATTATAAAAATAGAAAAAAATAAAATTTTATTATTCCAGTAAATAATAATTATTTGAATTACCAGGTAATGGATACGATTGTTTTCCCGAATCGGAAAGTGATGATAGACCAGGTCCTCATTGTAATCAAGGCGTTTGTATGTGTCCACTGGGTTGGGCGTATCATGAAAATGAATGCATCAGACAAACGGATGAAAATCAAGACGGTAAGCATTAAAAAAATTAAGAAAAATAAATTTCAATTGTTTACTTTATCGCCAGGCAACTGCGGGAAAACAAATGGGAGTAGAACATTATTTATTCGTCATTAAAAGTGGAATGTTGCGCTAATGAGTATGTTCTTTAATTAAATCGTTCAGTAAATGAAACGTTCAGTAATCAATTGTAAATATCGATTGATTATTAGGACAATAATATTAATAATGGAGATAATAATAATCAATAATATTAATATTGAAGATAATAATTAGTAATGTGAATATTCAAGTCAAGATAATAATCAGGATAATAATCAAATTAATAATTTGTTTAATAATTTAATAAATTTATTAGCTGATTACAAAATCTAGAAGAAAAGAAATTAATTTTTTTGAGGTCAAACTAACGATTAACTTTGGATGCTGCATCCTGATGCATTTTTAGTATTGGCACGTCCGCTTCCGGCATGCTTCGAAGAATACTGTGTTTGTCCCATGGGATACGATTATGAGGAACTTGAAGATGTTTGCGTCCCTAAAGAAGGATACGACTTGATGACAAAAGGTCCTTCTGGATTTCATTGTACGAATTTCTTGCTTGGCTTTTTAAGTGCTTCGTCGCTTATTTAAAAGGAAAAACATTCTTTTACCTCGCTTTTTGCATGTTACAAAGAAATTTGCACTTGAAAAATTTTTTACCAATAAGTCAAGTATATATATTTTTTAATTTTCTAATTTATTTTATTCATTTTCTATTTTATTTTATTCAGTCTCTAATTTATTTTATTCATTCTCTAATTTATTTGATTGATTCTCTAATTTATTTTTTTAAATCTCTAATTTATTTTATTTATTCTCTAATTTATTTTATTCATACGTTTCAAAATTTCCTTTAAAAAAAACACACAATTTCTAATAATTAAAATTGCACACGCTTTTCTTCAGTACCTTGCAACGTGATGAATAGGTGTCATCCTTATGCATCTTGCGTCTACGATACAATCACTTTGGAATATAGCTGTCAGTGTAATGCCGAATACGAAGGCGATGGTATCGAGTGCAATAAAAGAGGTACGTTTAAATTTTAAAAAAACAGGCTTCGCACTCATCTACTAAAACCCACCTACTATTTACTACTTTTTTACAATTTGCTACTATTTGGATACTTTTTTAAATTTATAACACTAAAAGATACTTTTTTCTTTATTTTTGGGGGAAATTTGCTTCTTCAGAAGAATTCAATTATTTTCACAAAAAATAAAATTTTTCACGAGAATTAAATTATTTAAAAAAAAATTAATAAAATTCTTTACAAGAATTCAATTATTTTCATAAATAATAAAATTCTTCTCCGAAATTCAATTATTTTTTTTTAAAAATTCATAAATTCTTGAATTCTTTCTTTAATTCTTCACAATTATTCAATTATTTTCCCAAATAATAAATTTTTTCACGAAAAATCAATTATTTAAAACAAAATTAAATTAAATTCTTCGCAAAAATTCAATTATTTTCATAAATAAAAATTTCTTTTCAGAAATTCAATTATTTTTTGAAAAATTGATAAATTCTTGAATTCTTTCTTTAATTCTTCACAATTTTTCAATTATTTTTCCAAATAATACATTTTTTCACCAAAATTCAATTATTATAAAAAAAAATTAAATTAAATTCTTCGCAAAAATTCAATTATTTTCATAAATAATAAAATTTTTCATCAGAATTCAATTACTTATAAAGATTTTTAAAATTATTTTACGCTAACATTTAATTATTCTCATAAATAATAAAAATTTCACGCAGAAATTCAATTATAATTTTTTATAAATTTTCCTAAAATAATTCCATTGATTTTATAAATAATAAAAAACTTTTTAAAAATTGAATTATTTTTATAAATACTAAAACTCATTGCTAAATTTCAATTATTTTTAATACAATTTTCATCAAATTCCTCGAAAAATGTAATTATTCTTAAAAATTTTATTAAAATTCTTCAAAGAATTCAATTATTTAAAAATTTGTTCAATTTTAAGAAACATATTTAATTATTCAATAAATTTTTATTTTAATGTTGAATAATTGAATTCTCGTAGAAATTTCTAATAAAAACTGAATTGAAAATGAATTTCAGTTGAACATTTAGGTAATATTTGAATATTAAAAATATTAGAGTGAATTTTTAGAAATAATTGAATTTTGAAAAGGTTTTAAATTACAATCTTTGAATATCTAAATTTTTTAAAATTTTGTGTTAAAAATGTTGTATTTATATTAAAATATTATTAAATTTAAATTGTTGAAAATTTTAATTGTTGTAAAACTGTAATAATATTTAAATTTTTACTTTGAAAAATTATTAATTTATTTTCTTAATTCCTGTGAACAATTTAAATAAAATTTTATTAAATAATTTTATTTGTTTACTTTTAGAAATTACTTTTAAATATAATATTCTTTTTTCGGATAAAAATTTAGAAAATAATTAAATTTTTCAAAAATGTAGAAGCAGGGTTAGAATAAAAATAAATATTTTTGATTGAAATCAGGAAACATTCAGGGCATAATTCCAAATAAAATGTTGAATCAAATTTTTGTGAATCGACTAAAACAATTTTCTTTGTATTCGTTAAAATTAATTTTCGATAGCTACTTTTTTAAAATTAATTATTGAGTGCGAAGCCTGAAAAAAATTACACCGCTGCTTAATTTTTGACAATCTCTCATTAATGAATCCTGCTTGTTGGGTATGTTGAACATTTCTTTAAATTCATAAAAACTGAATATTCATTAATGTCCCAAAACAGAAGTCTCCTGCTTCGAGGTCGATATTTGTGATCCAAATGCCTCATGCCGAAATGAAGATTCCTTCGCTAGATGCGTCTGTAATCCAGGATTTAAAGGAGATGGCACCGACTGCAGACCAATTGGTTTCAATCATTTTTTTTAACCATTTTTTTATTATACAAAATTTTTCAAAAGCTAAATTAAAATAAAAGTTGTGAATATATATGTGATATTAATTAAAAGGAGGGAAATTAATATCTTTTTTTTCGTTTTTTGATCTAGACGAATGTGATGATCATCCAGATTGTGGAAATAACGAAAGATGTCAATATAATCCAGCGAGTTCACGATACGAATGTTCCTGTATTCAGGGATACAGTAAAGTTGATTCACAGTGTATGATTTCGGATTGCGCGACAAATCCTTCTCTTTGTCATATTAATGCACAATGCTCAACGTCACATGACGGTGGCTCTAAATGTGTTTGCGTCAATGGATATCGTGGAGATGGAATTCTTCATTGTGTCGAGGATCATATCAACTGCAATGTCGTTAATAATTGCGGAAGAAATGCCGTTTGCGGATACAATCAAACAGCTTCTAATTACGCCTGCGTTTGTTTACCGGTGAGTATATTACTTTTTACTATATTCATTTTCCTCTACAAGAATTCTTCAATCTGTGGAAAAATTCTTATTAATGTTGTTCCCTTTCGCGCTTTCTGAAACAATTTAAAGTGAAAAGTATGTTTTATTAACTATTTTATGCACTAAATAATAAAAATTGAATCTTCCAGGGATTCTATGGAAATGGATTTACCTGTCTGCCGCAATTATCATGTAAAAATGATCCAAATATTTGTTCTCATTACGCAGCATGTGTGCCTGCAGGACATCAGCAATTCACTTGCGTGTGTAATGACGGCTACATTGGCGACGGTATGAATTGTAGACCAACTCCGACACACGAGGCCAACTTTTTACTTGTGAATCAGGGAACAGCAATTCATCGAATTCCATTCTTCCCAACACGAGATAAACCCGGAAGTCCTATTATGGTTCAAAATAATCAAATGACAATTGCTGTCGCCATCGATTGCGCCCATGGAAAAGCGTATACCATCGACATTATCGGTATGTCAAATCAAGAGAAGAAATAAGAATCAACAAGAATAGATAGAAATAGAAAGAAATTGAAAAAATAAATTATCTCCAAAAATGTTCAATTTTGAAATTTTTTCCTTTCATTTTCAGGCAACAGAATTATGTCATTAAATTATAATGGATCGAAAGTGGACAACTTCATTACGGGAATAACGAGTGCCGAGGGCATTGCTATGGATTGGATATCTAGAAATTTATTTTGGACCGATTCGGCGAAGGGAACTGTTGAAGCTGCCAATGTCGAGACAAAAAAGCGCAAAGTCCTGGTGAAAACCGGTTTAGTTAATCCACGAGGAATTGCAGTTCATCCTCATCGCGGGTAATTAAAATTATCATCAAAAAAATATTAAATATTAAAAACCTTTTAATTAAAATTTGAAGAAAGCAAGGCTCGAACTAGGTCCGTAAATCCCGTAAAGATTCGTAAATTTGATTGCAGTTCGAAGAAGTCAGTTTTTTAAAAAAACGTCCGTAAAGTCGGCAATTTGTTTGAAAAAGTACGAAAATTTCGTAAATTGTACGATATAATTTGGAGAATTTTTGAGAAGTTACAAACGATTGCAGAAATTCAATTATTTTCAAAAGTAATACAATTCTTCTTAAAAATTCAATTATATTAATATTTTTTTTAAATTCTCAAAAATTCTCCAAATTATATTTATAAATAACAAAAGTCTTCTAAAAAATTCAATTATTCCAAAAAGTTTGATAAAATTTTCCAAAAGAATTCAATTACTTAAAAAGAATTTTAATAAAATTCTACGCAAACATCTAATTATTATATACAATCAAAATTTCACAGAAATTAAATTACTTATAAATTTTCTATAAATTTTATCGATAACAATTCAACTGTTTTAATAAATAATAAAATACTTTTTAGAAATTGAGTTATTTTCATAAATAATAAAATTCATTGAAGAATTTCAATTATTTTTAATTCAATTTTCATCGAATTCCTCGAATAATGTAATTATTCTTCAAATTTTCGTTAAAATTCGTCAAAAAATTCAATTATTAAAAAAATTGTTCAATTTTAAGAAACATATAATTCTTTAATAAATTTTTTTAAAAATTTTAATTATGTAATTATTGAATTCTTGTAGAATTTTCTGATAAAAATTGATTTAAAAATCAATTTCAGTTAAAATTTTAAATAACAATTGAATATTAAAAACATTATAGCGTGAATTTTTAGAAATAATTGAATTTTGAAAAGGTTTCAAATTAAAATCTTTGAATATCTAAATGTATTCTCATATTGTTCCTTGGAGGGCTCATTAGCCCTAGGAACCGTTTAAATAAATAAATAAATAAATAAATAAAAAAATATCTGAATTTTTCAATTTACTTTTTAATTAAAAATTCTGTAGTGAACTAATTTTTTTGAAAAATTTTAATTTTATAAATAATGTAAATTTTACAAGAATTCAATTATTTAAAAACTTTTAATGAAATTCTGCACTGAAATTCAATTATTTAAAAAATTCTAATAAAATTCTTCCCAAGAATTCAATAATATTAATAATTATCAAAATTCTTCCCAGAAATATTCAATTACTTTCAGGAATTTTTTTACTAAATTCAATTATTTTCATAAATAACAAAATTGTTCATAAAAATTCAATTATTTAAAAATTTTTAATGAAATTCTTCGCAAGAATTCAATTATTTTGAAAAATAATAAAATTCTTCACTGAAATTTAATCAAATTCTTTGCAAGAATTCAATTATTTTCACAAATAAGATAATTTTTTACTGAAATTTAATTATGTATTTAAAAAATTTTAATTATAATTCTTCGCAAGTATTCAATTATTTTCGGAAATATTATAATTATTTTCAAGGATTCAATTTTTTCATATTATATTATAAAATACTTTTTATAAATTGAATTATTTTCATAAATAATAAAACTTATTACAGAATTTTAATTATTTTTAATATAATTTTAATAAAATTCCTCGAAAAATGTAAATATTCATAAAAATTTTGTTAAAATTCGTCATAAGAATTCAATTATTTTAAAATTTGTTGTCAAAATTCTTTAAGGAAATTCAATTATTCAATAAATTACCTATTAATAATTAATAATTGTATTCACGTAGAATTAAAAAAAAAATTTAATTCTTTAAATTTTAAAACTTATAAAAAATGTATTACAGTAAAAGTTTTAGATAATAATTGAATATTAAAATCATTACAGCGTGAATTCTTAGAAATAATTGAATTTTGTGAAGGTTTCAAATTAAAATCTTTGAAAATCTTAATTTTTCATACGTTCAACTAATAATTCTGTAGAATTAATATTTGTGAAAAAGTTTAATTGAATTTTGTTTTGAAATTATTTGAAGTTTCTATTTTCTAATATATATATATTTAATTGAAGAATTTCTAAATACTAGAAATTTCGTAAAATTGAATTGAAAACAAATTGAGGCCTTGGATCCAATAACTCGCCCGACGCTCGGAGGAACGCGCAACTGCCAGTCAGTGAGCAGTGAGCGCCTCTGGGTCACTCACTGCTACCCGACTGGTATTAGCGCGTGCCTTCAAGCGTCGGGCGAGTTATTGGATCCAAGGCCTCAATTGATTTGAAAATTCTCAAAGAACTTTTTCAAAAATTATTAAAAAAAAAACATAAAATTAAAACATGAAGAAATCAATTGCTCCGAGTCGAAGACTCGGAGTGATCGATATCTTCATGTTTTATAGTTTTGAAAATATTTCATTTATATTTTTTTTAAGTAAAATGTTCTCTTATATTTCTCGGTCTGGTTAAATTTTTGTCAGTAATTTTTAATTTTTGATCCGTAAAGTTCGTATTTTTAAACACTTTCACTAATTCGAGCCCTGTGAAAGAAAAAAAATGTAAAGAAGGAAGTTTATTTTGCTACAGGCAAAAATTAAAATAAAATAAATAAAATTGATTACAGAAAAATATTTTGGACTGACTGGAATCGTCAATCGCCGAAAATTGAAACAGTTAACGAGGATGGAAGTGGACGTCAAATATTCTTACAAGGTGATAATGTTAAATTGCCCAACTCTTTGGCAATTGATTGGGACACTGATGAATTATGTTGGGCCGATGCTGGAACTTTCACTATAAGTAATTTACATCATCTTGTTGATATAACATTAATAATGATTAAATTATAACCATTAATAATTATTAATTTATAACCATTAATAATTTTTATTCTAACACAAATTTTTCTGAAATTATTTCCTCAGGCTGTGCACACATTGACACAAAATACGTACACGTTATTGCTGAGTCGTTGCCCTATCCATTTGCAGTCGCAATATCGCAAAATCACTATTACTGGACCGACTGGAAAACGTTAGATAAAATTCTTTTTTCCATGAAATATTGTATTCTGTAATATTTATCAGTTTAGGGAGAAATTTTTCTATTTTATTCGCAAAAATAAGTGCTGAATTTTTCTCTGATAAAAAAGCAAGATAACTGATATTTAAGTTTCGGATATTTTTTTAACAGAATTAAGAATAATTTCTTTTGTTTTTAGGAAAACGATAGAAGTTGCTCTGAAGAATAATGGACAGAGGCGTGAACCTTTAAATATTCCTCCTGGAGGTAGTGGAAAATTGTACGGAATTGTTGCTGTTCCTGAAGCATGTCCTAGAGGTATTCGTATTATCCAACAAGATTTGCAAATTATTTACAAATTTTCTACAAACTATTTTAAGAGCAATTTTAATTCTATTTTAATAACTTTTTTATTTCTATTTTAATAAATTTTTAATTCTATTTTAATAACTATTTTATTTCTATCTCAATTCTATTTTAATAAATATTTTAATTCTACTCCAACGAAATTATTTAAATTGATCAATTAAATAATTTTTTAAATTAATAATTAAATAATTATATAACTATATAATAAATTATATAATAAATAATTAATCAATTAAATAATTTACATAATTTTTGAAAATGTTTTTACAGTTTCAAATGTCTGTCAATATGAGAATGGAAGGTGTAGCAAAGAACAACTCTGTTTGCCTGATGGACATGGAGGAAGATCATGCGTTTGTGCAGATAATGCCGTTGGAACTTGCACAGATTCGCGGCATCATCAATCGTAAACAAAATTATCATCTCCCGCGTCTGTAGTTTTAAGAATCTCAAATTTAAGAAAAAAAGAAACAGAAAAAGAGCTTTTCTTCCAAGAAGAATTGCCAAATTGTATACATGTAAAGCAAGAAAAGAATTTAGAACATTTTCCAAAAAATTTTCTAATTCTTTTTCCATTCTATTCAATTCTAGTTCTCCAAACAAAAACAAATTTTTGATGGAATTTAAAAAGAATATACAGTTAATTAATAATTATTAAGGAATAGTTAATTAATGAATTTTAATGAATTATGCATTATAATAGACTAATTATTAATTGATTGATAATTGATAATTATTAATTAATAATTAGATAATTAATCGTAATTAATTAATAATATTAATTGTAATAGACTAATTTTTTCTCGAGATACATTTTAATGAAAATATTATTCATTTTGTGAGTAAATTTTCAATCTCTTGTCATTGTAATAAAACGCAGAAAAAAAACATCTCGCCGAAAAAAAAATCACCATAACTTATGCAAATGTGTAACTTTATTCATATATTTTCATTACCTATTTTCTAATGTAATGAAAATTTGTTGAATCGATCGTCAACATTTTCGTCTTAACTGTAATAATATTGTAATTAAATTTTATATTTTTATTAACACCATAAGTGCCACGTGCATTAATTTAATAAATAAAACATGAAATTTTAACTGAATTTCGTTTTTTTTTTGTTAATAATATGAAAACTATTTAAAAAACAACTTTTTTTTTCACAAAACGCTTCAAATTAAAAATAATAAAAATTGTATTATAATAAGTTTTTTATTATTTAATTATATATGTTAATAAATAAGTTAATTTCTATTTTATTATATATTAATAAATAAGTTAATAATCTACTTGAATATTTTTTTAAATTGTTTAAATTTTCAACTAATTTTTAAATTTAAATTTAAATTAAAATTGCAATTTAATAAAAAAAAAATAAGTAGATTTGCAATAATAATAGAGAATCGAATTTTATTGTAACAAAATTATTATTATTAATGGATCAGAGTTATCCAGTGATTTGAAAATAATTCTAGTAGATAAGGCTTATTTTCTGTACAATCTTATTGTTAAAAAGAGGGGGATAACCACACGATATATTTACGCAGCGCTACTCTTTAAACGAAACAGTTTTAACTTTAACATTGTGACGACACTTTCGTTCTCTTTGGAAAGTACATTATTTTTCCTTCATTTTTCAAGAAAGAAAATAAAAAAAAAATGGCTACAGTGAAAAATGAAAAAATCGGCATCATTGGAAGGTAATTATATTATACAAATTATTAAAAGAAGAAAATAAAAAATGTAAAATAAAATATAAAAAATAATAAATTCTTTTCAATTTGAAAGCAAAATATTTTTGTACAATATTCTAATTAATCAAATCGGTAAAAAATGTGAAATTAAAAATAAACGAAAGTGTACGACTAATTAGTGGAAATTAAGACTTATTTTGTAGGGAAAATTTTTTTTTTTTGACAGAATTGAGAAAAGTTTAATTTGACAGTTCAAAAAATCTCGCTCGTTTTTCCAAGGTTCTTTTAATTCAGCTTATTAATAATTGTATCAGGAATAAAATTATCAACTACTTTTCGAATCATTTTAATGACAAATAATAAGTGTGCGAAAGTTCGAAGAGAGATAACAGCCGAAGATTTTTTTTTTTAATAATTAATTTCACCTTCTGTTCAAGTAGATAAATTTTTAAATTAACTTCTAGTTAAGAACGTTTAATTTCTGGTTTAAAATGATTTAATTATCAAATTAATTCCTGGTTAAAAATGATTTAATTGTTAAATTAATTCTTGGTTAAAAAGTATTTAAATTTAAATTTCTTAAATTGAATTTCTGATTAAGAATTATTTAATTTTCAAAATTAAATTCTAGCATATTGTGGAAAAGAATATTTCTCTAGATTTATAATCACTGTTGCATTTATGTAAATAAATTTTTCAAGAACTGTAAATATTGTTTCTTGCAAAACCTTTAATAAGCAGTAAATAGTTAATGCTTACTTTTACAAAAATCTTTTAACGACTGAATAAAACTCGCCTTTCTTTCGTCAAGAAAACTATTGAGTTTCGTTCTCAATTTCTTGTTGTTACGGAATATTTTTTCGAATAAGAGATTTTTATTAACATTGTCTCAAAAATTTTGCTATTAAGAAATTTAACTATTTAACTATTTAATTATTTAACAATTCCAGAATTTAATTATTTAAAAATTCAACTATTTAATTAATTAATTATTTAACAATTTAACTATTTAATTATATAACCATCGAACTATTTAATTAGATAACAATTCAACTATTTAACAATTTAATTATTTAACCATTGAACTATTTAATTCTGTAAATATTTAAATAAATAATTAATTTATGAATTTAATGATAAATTTTACATAAAAATTTCAGTGGTCTAATTGGTCGCAGTTGGGCAATGCTTTTTGCCGGCACAGGATATCAAGTAATAATTTACGATATTGTCCAAGAACAGATCACAAATGCATTGCAAGATATTAAACAACAATTAAATCGATTAGAGAGTGATAAACTTTTAAGAGGAACATTGACTGCACAGCAACAATTTAATCTCATTAAGGGTAAGTTTTAAATTTTGATTTAAATTTTTTTCATTTTTGTTTATTTTTTAAATTTTGATTAAAATTAAAATTTGCAAATTAACAGGTACGTCCGACTTGACGGAAATGGCGAAAGGCACAAAACTAATTCAAGAATGCGTTCCAGAAAATTTGGAACTCAAGAAAAAAGTTTATGCACAACTTGACAAAGTTGTTGACGATAAAGTGATTCTATCATCATCAACTTCCACCTTCAAACCTTCACTTTTCAGTGAAAACTTAAAGCATCGCGAACAAATAATTATCTCCCATCCGGTGAGTAAATTCTCTTTTTATTAGATTATAATTTTAATTCGAAAGTATTTTTCCCTTTTTAAATTTTAAGCAAAAAAAAAAAAATATTTTATTTCTAATTGTTCTTATCATAGATTAAAGTGTTTTACTATCTTGTAGAATGTTGATAGCACAAGTCATGTGACCTTAAGATCTCTAGAATGCTTGTTTAACAACTATTCAATATAAATGCTATAAATTTGCAGATTATGAGATTTTTTCTTGTCTCCAAGAAATAGAAAATTGTTCTTCCCCTTTTTTGTAAAAATAAATTTCTGTGAATTTCAATAATTTTTTTTAGGTGAATCCCCCATATTACGTTCCTCTTGTAGAAATCGTGCCAGCTCCATGGACAAGACCGGAAATTCCTGTTCAAACTAAAGCCATAATGATCGAAATTGGTCAAGCGCCGGTTGTTCTCAGTAGAGAAATCGATGGATTTGCTCTCAACAGAATACAGTAAGAAAAGATTATTACATCAATTAAAAAATTCCCAATTCCACTATATTAATTAATTTTACGAAGTAAAATTAAATTAAAATTTATGAAGTAAAGTTAAATTAAATTTTACTTTGTAAAATTAAATTCGTTAAAAAAAGTTAAATTTGTAAAATTTAAATTATAAGACAAATTAAATTATATATTGTTCATAAATTTAATAAAGGAATTTAATTCAATTATTCTAGATATGCAATTTTAAACGAAGTCTGGCGTTTAGTCGCTGATGGAATTTTAGATGTGAAAGATGTCGATACGGTAATGAGTGAAGGACTTGGAATGCGTTACGCTTTTCTCGGAGCACTTGAAACTGCCCATCTTAATGCAGAAGGTAAAGGAGCAAATAACAGATTTAAAATTTAATACAAAAAAAAAAAAAAAATTTTCTAAAAAAATTATCCAATTAAGAAATTTAATTTAAAATTGTCGATTTATTTTTAAAATTGCCTTTATTTATCTTGAAGTTATTTAAAATTAACTTCTTATTTTTCAGGAATGAAAAAGTATTGTGAAAGTTACGCGAATAGTATCTACAATGTGAGTAAAAATTTTGGACCAGTTCCAAAATTCGAGGGTGAAATGGCAAAAAAAATAAGCGAGCAATTAAATGTAATTTGTCCACTCGATAAACTTCAAGAGAGACGGACATGGAGGGACACAGCTCTCACGAAATTGTCAATTCTCAAGAAAGAAATGAGCAAAAGTGAAAAAAAGTAATTTGTTTAAAGATATAAATTTTATACGTACTAATATAATAAAATTATAAATATTAAACTGTAAATTTTGAGAAAATTTACTGAAAATTAATTTCTTCCAAGTTCACAAAGTTTACAGACTTTGGATAGACTTTAAGAAGCAAAAAAAGTCGATTAAAAATTATTATTTTGTATTTTTCTGACTTTACCCTTTTACTGATTTCTAAATTTAATTATTCAAAAATTTTATAATTTTGTTAAATACTTCTTATTCGTTTGTCCACGGGAAATAAAATTTAAAATATTTCAATTTAAAACCTAAAAATAAATGGTTTCTAGAAATTACAAACTTCAAATTATTTCCAAATTTTTCTTCAAATCTCCTTCCAAAATTCAATTATTTTCTACAATTTTTAAAAAAACTTCATCTCTAAATCAATTATTTTTAATAATTTTCCGAAAATTCGTCGTGAATTAAATTATTTAAATATAAAAAAGTTTAATTTTTTATAATTGCAACTGTCCATGTTTTTTTAAAAAGATTTTTAAGTAATTTTTGAAAGATAATTGTAAATAACAATATAAATTTTTTTCTTGGTTCGTCATAAACACAGGCCTCGGATCGACTTTAAGGTGCAAAAAAGTCGAAAAAGTCGTTTATTTAATTCAGTGTCGTCACAAAAATTTTATTTTTTTATTCTTTTGATCTTTCACTGATTTCTAAATTTAATGATTTAAAACTTGAATAACTTCGTTGAATAAATATTGAAATACTTTTTGTTTTTTTTTTTTTTTGAAAATAGTCGAAAATACTATAATATCCGAGGCCTTTAAACATTGTAAACTTGTGAAAATTAAGAATGTATGTACTCTAATAAATAAATAGAATTTAAAATTAAACTTTGATTTTTACGAAATTGTGTTTATTAAAACCTACACCATTTAATTGTAGGTAATTAAAAAAAATCACTTTTAATTTAATTAATACGAATAAAATCTGTAATGAATTAAATTCTGGATAAAAATTGTTAAAATTAAATTAAATTCATTAAGAAGTGATTGGAAATTATGTAAAAGGAAGAATAAGAAAGAAAAAGCTCCGGATTAAGTGATGGACACTTATTTTTTATTTTCCCCTACAAAAAAAATGCTTATCGTTTACCTCCAACACGTGGGGCACTCTTTTGCTGTACTTTCGCGGCCTTTTGTTTCGGGGCGGCCTTTGGCTTAGCAGGAGCTGTGGCCTTCTTCGCGACTTTCGTTGCCTTCTTCTGTTCCTTTGCGGCCCTGAAATTACAAATTTTCATTGTTATTTAAATTAAATCAAATAGAAATTTAACTATCGTTCATTACAACATTTTCTTAATTATTTATTTAATATAAATATTTTCTTTATAGGAGTTTAAAAAACTCCTAGGAAATTTATATAGAAGTTTCAATGAACTATAAAGGAAGAAACCATATAGAAAAAAAGAAAAAAATGAAATAAAATAATTAATTAAATTAAAATTAAGTTTCGTGTAATTAAAGAATTTATTCTAATTATTGTTCTGTTTGAACCCGCAAAGCCAGACAGTGTGATTGCATTATGCCACAATTCTGGGTGAAGCAGTCCTGGGAATTAATCTAAGACATTCTGAAAACTAACAAGAAATAAAAGTTCTTGCCAGAGGAACAGCTGTCTAACTAGAGGTAATTTTTTGTTCTTTTACCAAATAACTAGCGAAAATTAGAATATTCGTAAGATTTATCAGAAAAATCTGTGTTTATCAAAGAAATATTCTAATTTCCAAAAGTCGAATAATTTAGAAAGTTCATAGATTAACAAAATTCCGTTGCAGAATGTTAGTTTAGAAATTTCTCGAAACTTACTTAATAGCTTGATCTCTTTGTGCTTTTCGGATTTCTGGTTTCATATTCCGTTTAGCCAAAATATCGGTCAATGAAGCGCCAACAATGGCTCTCTGGAATTTTTGCGTGCGACGGGTCCTCTTTTTCGTTTGCTCTTCCTCCTGACCCTTCTTGTGCTTACGCCTGGAGAACAAATAAAAAACTGTATTAATTCAATACATTAAAATCGCATTTAGGAAAAATTGAAACAAAGTTATCTATTTTTCAAATAAATAAACCTGAAAAATTTGAAACTCTAGGAGTTCTTATATTTTAAAAACATTTCTCCTTCCAATTTTCTTAAAAGATTAAATTTATACTTTAAATGGATTCAAAAAGGATTTTTTTTAGTTAAAAATAAGTGAAAGACTGTATCAAAGAAAAAAAAACGCTTGAAAAACTTTGTCAGACGCGGAAAAATCGTCATGTTGACAGCTCTCTGTGTTTGAGGTTAGGTACACCGCAAAATTTTGCAATGTTTACACCAGGAAATAAATAAATGATCAATATTCACCTGTACAAGACGGTCCACGTCACTTTTCTTGGATTCCTCTTCATGAGATGTGCGGATTCACATTTTGAGTTGAGGAAAGTGAAGGACTATTGAGAGAAAAAGAGGTTATGTTAAAATTCGTAATTTTCTTTCTACTAAAAAAATACCGATTTTCTCCAAAAAACGATAAATTTTAGTTAAATTACAAAAAAATGATTATTAAATTATCAATAAAACATACCTTTCCATCAACTTTAACCATGGTTTTTCCATGGCCTGGATAAATTTTATATCCACTGTACGCACAAAGTCCGATCCTAAAAATATTAAGACGAAATTAATAGTTAATACTTGCGAATAACGTTTGTTTAACATTTTTAATGAAAAGAACGACGATTTAGATGATTATTGTGGATTTTCAGTTTAAGATTAGCACGCCAACTTACTTCATTTTGATGGATAAACGTGAAAAGAACAATGAAAACACAAGCTTGATGTAAAAATGGCCGAAAAAATTGTTTTTCTTAGTGTCGACGTCTGTCATCAGACGGAGCCTCTGCAGTTGGTCCATAAGAGGAGCGCGAATTTTCAAATATTAAATTCTTAATTTGTCCTATTTGGATGTAAACCTTTGATGTAAACATTTCAGAAAAATTTACATTAAAGTTGATAAATTAACAAATAGGTAAAATTGCAAATAAGTGAGTAGAAAAAAATTAATAATTATATTTTCTTTCATTTTTGTTTATTTTTAACTAGTAATCAATTCGGTAAGAGATACTAGTTGCTATGGTAACGATTAGATTTTAGGGGACAAACAAATAATTTTCTAACCTAACTAAATAGTTTTAAGTGATTATTTGTTATTTAAATTTGTTACTTAAATGAATATTTTAACGCAGAGGAAATATTCTGCAATATTATTTTTACAATATGTTTTGTTAATTTTTGATATTTCGGTCAATTCTTTTGCTAGTTTTTCGAGACCCAGGCCGGTCGATTTACTTGTTCTTTATGTGTAAGTTCTTCTTATTGCAAAATAGTTTTTTCATTTTTGAGTTATTATTTATTTATTATTTACTATTATTATTTACTATTATATGAGAAATTGTCAATTTTTGATGATATTTGTTATTATTTATTATTATTTACCATTATATAAGAAATTGTCGATTTTTGATGATTGTTGATGATAATTGTTATTATTTATTATTATTTACCATTATATGAGAAACTGTCGATTTTTGATGATTATTGATAATTGTTATTATTTATTATTATTTACCATTATATGAGAAATTGTCGATTTTTGATGATTATTGATGATAATTGTTATTATTTATTATTATTTACCATTATATGAGAAATTGTTGATTTTTGATGATCATTGATGATAATACTATTTTTATTATGTATCCCTTAGTCTTGTTTAATAAAATAATAATTGTTCTTCTGATCTAATTATTTTTCTAGAATTCAAGACTTTTGTTTAATAGTTGCTTTAACTATTATGCTCGCTAGTTTTTTCTCAACGTACGTTTTTCAGGTAAATATTAACAATTTAAGTTATAAAGAAATTTAAATTTAAAGTATCAATTAATTTTTAAAAAAATATAATAATTTGTAATTTAATTATAATTTTTTAAAAATAGGTTGGATTGATACAATTGCTTTATACGAAATTTCGCATGACACTTGTATTGTGTGTCATCTACATAATTTTGAGTATAGGATTGCATTCATGGCACATGACAATTCACTGGCCAAATCCTTTCGATCACTATTGGACGAATGGTTTTCATAGTTTATATTTTACCCAAAGAGCTGGTAAGTATTTTTAAATTCTACTTTAAATAATTAAATTTAAAAAATTTAAATTTTAAAACGAAATTAAATTTTGTTTTTCTTTTAATTAAACTTTTTTAGTTGCAGTTTTGTATTACTATTTTTACAAGAGATCTTCATTGAAAATTGGAGATCCGAAATTTTACGAAAAATCGACTTGGATGCAAAAAGAAGGTCTTCCATAAAAAATAATATGAATTTCGCCTGTTTCCTAGTTGTAATTTTGTATATAAAAAATAAAACTAAAAACTAAAATTGCATCGACTTCTGACATCCCCTTAAGCCTTAATAGTGGGAAATTTTTAGAAAAAAAAATGGAAGAAAGTGAATAAATTAATAAAAGTGATTTATTAAAAGATGTTGAAAATTTAAACTGATTCAAGCAACAAGAGCACTTGCTGTTGAACTTTCATATTTCCAGCTTGGTGGTAAAACAGATTTTTGTTTATAATAACGTGCGAGCCGGTGAATTCGCGATTCGACGAGAATCAAACGGAACTTTGAATCCTTGTCTTTGCGATTACGCTCTAAATGCTTTCTGATGGCCACAGCTTTCTTAATTAAATGATATAAATCTTCAGGAATTTCAGGGGCAAGTCCCAGACTTTTGAGAATCCTCAGAACTTTGCTTCCTGTTCGGAAACGTGCTTGTGCGACACCATAAGAGTCACGCAAAATAACACCTGTAACCGGAAATAGTAAATTAGTTATACAAATCGAAACAAAATTATTAAACTATTTAATTACTACTTAATAAATAGAAATTAATTTATTGATTCAATAAATTGAAAAATTGAATCGAATAACTGAATTTCGAAAATAGGGTTCAACTTGAAAAATCGTAAGTCTTTCACTGAAGAATTAAGAGTGTAAATAATTCTTACTTCGCAGAATTGATCCCTTTTTTGAAATTCAAGATTCAGTTTAAAATTAATAAATAAAAAATTTACCAATTTGACTTGGTGTGTGACCCTTTTTTGCCAATTTAAAAATTAAATCCTTCGTGTCTTCTGGAGTGAGTTTCAGCCAAGTTGCGATACTTCGCCTGTAAGGCAATGCTGACTGGGATATACCCTTTCTGTGAAATAAAATTAAAAATATGAATTTCGAATAGAATAATTGTTTCCAAAAATAAAAGTAAATAAAATGTATTTTCACTTCTAAAAATTAGACTAATTTCAAAAGAAAGTGTAATAAGTCACTGCGCCAACTATAGAACATAACCTAAAAGACTTTATAAACAACACGTATTCAGAACGCGAGGAAACATTGACATATTGACGAAAAACTTTTAAATAGCAAAGTAACATCAAATGTAGACGAATTTAACAAAATGTAACGTAAAAATAAACCAAGTTTGATTAAAACACATGGAAAATGAAATAAAAACACATGGCACATGGCTTGACAGTGCAGCAGAAAAATTCCGAAACAATAAAAAGGAATGACAATAGGGAAATATTTCACTTTTCACATATTTCACAAAGTCGAATATTCTAATTGCAACTGTTATTAATTTGTTGAGGGATGAAAAAAATACGAAAATTAGTAATTAATTACCCTGGAGCGTGCATACGACCCATGGTGACGATTTGAACCTGGGATTGTTGGGATCAAGAAAGGAAAAATGAAACAAGATTGAACAAGACAGCGAAAAGGTAAATCGGGTAAATTCGGTAAAACCGGTAAATCTAGAGTAGTCTTGAAATTTGTCGTGTGGGGCGCAAGTATCGTTTTCCACCTACCAAGCATTGTTATTTTGTTTTCGAATATGGGACACAACATCCCGCAGTAAATTTTTTGTTTGTCAAAATTTGCAATCCCTGCAAAACATGAATACACAACAAAAAAAACTGTTCACAACTTCTTAACAATTTACACCAACACTAGAATTATTTTCCTTTTAAATTCTTAATAAACCTTTAAATATCAATAAATTAACAATGAAGCAAAAGTTCATCTTTCTGTTATAGAAGAATGAAAATTATAACCTAAAAAACAATATTCTTAAATATGGATTATTTAGGAGAAATAGTTGTTCTTGGTATTGATAGTTTAATTTTCGGTCTATGTTTAAAAAATTATTATTATTGCAAGAATGCCATCAATGCTGTTAAAGTAAGTTTTTTGCTTGAAAAGAATTTTCCTCAAAACGCACCCAATCATCTTATGTAAATATTGTGACATTCATACGTAATTGTTTTCTTTCTCATTCAAGAATACCGAATTCCACGAGGTGGGTCCGAGTTTAAATAAAGCAATAAATGATGCAGATGGAAAAATTAAATATATCGCTATAAAAGGAGCAGTTCTACCATTAGGAAAATCTTTACGAAGTATAAATAATAAGGATGTTACCGGTGTTATACAGAAATTAACACTTAAGGAGCATGTTGTTGCTAGAACAAGTGCTGGCTTTTGGTAAATTAAAATTGTTTATCTCTTGTAGGATTTTCATTAGTTTTTGATCTTATAGTCTTTCTCACAGGGTTCCTACAGAAATCCGAATTTAAAATTCCATATCTTTTCTTCTTTCTAGGCTTTTTTTACGATATGATACTTTTTTTTAGATTTCATCCACTAAAAGTTATTATTTCTGTTTTTTTTGGAGAATTTACACTACTTTAAAGTCGCTAATACTAGGAATCAAAAAACTATTCTCAAAAATGATAATCAAATTCTTTAAAACGATTCATTTTTTTCAAAAAATATTCGAAATTCAATTACTTTCAATATCTAGTATTTTTATATAAAATTTTACAAAATAATTTATTTATTTTTTAGGTCTGATCAAGAACGTACTGTACAGGAAGTGTACAATAAAATACCTTTTGCCTTATGTAACGGATCGTTCAAAGTTGAAATTATCGATGCAATGGCTGCTGAAGTTTTGGACATGGATACAATATCAGATGTCTTTGAGCCTAAAGTTCCCACATTTTCCGATCATTTATGGGGATTCTTTACTGGTTTGTATATTTTTAGAGGAAAATTTAAATTTCAGAACTAGAGTAAAATATAACTAAAATATCAGAGTTAGATATGAGAAATTAAAAATCGTCTCTTAATCCTTACCGACTTTAAATTTAATAGGAGTTAGACAACGTGGTTTACAATCAACGGAGGAAATGTTGAGGGAAGGATCAATTATAACTGGAATTGGAGAATTAACAAAACCTGTCACAAAGCCAGATACTCCTATATTACAACCTCCAGTTGATGGTACTCCATTCTTCTTGACCACAATGTCCGTAAGTTCCCTTCTTCGGAGGCTGGATGATCGCAAAAGGACTTACAGGTTATCTTCAAATGCTCAACAGAATAAAAATAAATTTCTAATAAAAAACAATTTTTAAAAAAGAATTTTTAGAAAGAATTTTTTAGAAAGAATTTTTAGAAAGAATTTTTTAGAAAGAATAATTTTTCTATTCTTGTTTAAAATTTATGTCAATGTTCTTCAGATGGTTGTGCATGATGTTCGGCGCTATTGGACTGATAATTGGAGGTTTAATAGTGCGTCACTATTGGAAGGACAGAGAGGAGGAACGAATTGCCAAAGAACTTCGCGATTCCCTCGCGGCATCACGTAAAGAAAGAAGGCAGAAAGTACGTGACAATGATCTCACAGAAAATCTTGCCTGTGTTGTCTGCCGATCGAATCCACGAGAAATTATTCTATTGGATTGTGGCCACGTTTGCCTCTGCGAGGATTGCTCGGAAGGAATAGTTGGTGGATGTCCCATATGTCGTGCGCCTATAAAATTCAAATACGCAGCCTACATTAGTTAAATTAAAAACTTGATAAGTGAACCAAAAAAAAAAGAAAATTAGAAAGCATCCTTCACCAAAGTTTACTTCAGAAAGAAACAAACATCTTCCAAAAGTCTTTCTTTATACTTTAAAAATTTTATTTAAAAATCAAAAGCACAGAAAATAAAAAATGGGACTGAAAAAATTGTTAACGTCTATATACTAGAAGGTAAATTATATATTTATTTTACATACATTATTTACATGAATTTTTCTGTTTTTTCGAATTTATTTCCACAATTTTTTCTGAAAGAAGGAATCAAAAGGTGAAATTTTTAATTTGATTCCTCTTTTCAGTTGAGTTTACACTTTTTTTCGAATTTATTTTCGTAATTTCTTTTGAAAAAAAGGAATCAAAAGGTGAAATTTTTAATTTGATTCCTCTTTTCAGTTAAGTCACAAGGTGATGAATCCATTATTTGTTTGACTTTATTCGTTTTGCCAATACCAAGTTTTGGTAGTCCACGATTTAGACCCTCCAACAATATACAAGCTTTGCATATTTCTTGACTGGAAACAAAACCACAGCGGGTACAATTTCGCCTCTCGGGAAATTTCACGGTATTTTTTATTTGTAATCGTTCACCTGAAATATTTTTCGGAAATAAATTCTCAATTCGGTTAAATTTAATTAATTAGAAGAAGAGAGGAGGGTATTTTTTAGTTACCTGAGTGTATTATATCTATAATACTGGAAGGTCTAATTTTTTCTAAATTTTTCAATAAAGTTCGTGCGTGTCCTCGATACGCGTTCGGTGAGAATATACATTCGGTTGAAAAATAAATAAGACGCTTAAAATACGCGTACATCACTATTTCCTTTTCGTATGTATACTTTAGTGGTTTACATCGACTGATTGCGCCTTCACTAGCCTAGGGAAAATTAAATACAATATTTTTAATTCTTATCACGTTTCTAAAAATTTAATTTTTCGTTTTTTGCTCGTTTTTTATATACAAATAGAAGTAGTATTTAAATATTATGTATAATTATTTGTTGATAAGTATTTAAGAAGATAATATAAGTATTTCGATAGGTAGCATAAGTATTTAAAATAAGTAGCATACTGCAAAAGGAAGTATCTTAAAAGTGACTACAAAGTCACTTAATTTTTGCAGTGCACAACAATTATTTAGAGAGTGAGAAAAATGTGAAATTTGGCTTATTAGATAAAAGTAGAAATCTCTGAACTCACTGTTACAATGGACGTGCATCTTTGAAGTCTTGCAATGTCGCCTCGCAAAACATTCATTAAAACTGTTTCGGCAATATCGTCTGCATTATGACCAGTCGCTATGCAATTCACTCCTAAAAGAGCGGCTCCACGATCTAGAGCTTGACGACGAAAAACCCCACAAAATGTGCAATTATTTTTACGACCTATCTAAATTGAAGAAATAAGAAATACAATTTTCGATTTTGAAAAAGAATACGCATAGTGTTGTAGAAAAATTCTTAAATACCTCTTTCACAATTTCATCCATTGTCCATCCGTAGAGATCTTTGTAGGATAGAATTTTTAGAGGCATATCATAGTCATCCCTATTTTTCTTCACCGTTTCTAAACTGTCGTCTCTGTAGCCTGTAATAATTTTTTATTTCTTTAGTATTAGATTGTTTGCTAAAACATTAAACATGAAATTAATTGCTGAAGCATTAAAGTTGAAATTGATTGCTAAATCATTAAATATAAAATTGATTGCTAAACATTAAATTGATTGCTTGCATCGATTTCTAAAGCACTTAGAAAGTGGAGTTGAAAAGAGGATAGCAAAAGGTAATTTTTAGCAATATGATAATAATAATACGGTTTGCAATTCAAAGAAATGGAAAGTACCAGTTATTCCCTCGTCGATTGACAAGAGAAAAAGATCGAGTCCATAATTGTACTTCTCGTTCAATAATTTTAAGACGTATGCAAGAACTGTTGAGTCCTTTCCTCCGGATGCACCGATTGCAACTTTATCGCCAGTTTTAAATAAATTGCCATTAATTATTGTATTGTGGACTTCTGATTCAAAGGCACGGAAGAAGCACTCTTTACAAAGAGCATTTCCTGTTTTTGGCCTCTGCAATAAGAAATTTTAAAATAAGTGTTAAATTAAGAGTAACTTTAAGGTAGCAGCTAAACAGCATCTAAACTTGCAGCAAAATTGACAATATTGCTACAAGTTTCCAGAATATTGAGGCCATGTTGTCGAGGTTGATAAAAATTTAGATGCTTTGGAGGATATTAGGACCTTCACACTCAAAAAATTGTATTCTGCATTTAATCTACTTAAATTTAGAATATAATTTTTTCAGTGTAGGCTCTGGGATGATCGTAGGATTATCCTAAATATTTGTATGCTGTTAGGAACCGAATGAAGTTGTTATAAATAGATCTGTATAACAATTGTGGAACAATTGTTTGAAATATTTATTTGGTTCAGTCTTAAAGGCGAAAATGGGTGTTAAACAACATTGGTAGTCTAGTTTTAAGTCTGATTTCGTCTAAAGTAACTTACGTTATTCCATAAATGTTTACTTAATTTCTGAGTAAGAAACTGATTTTGGGACTTACACTGCAAAAAGAAGTACCTTAAAATAACTAAAAAGTACCTTAAAACATCTTATATGATGTTTCTGTCCTAAACAACTTAATATAAGATGTTTTAAGCAACTTTGTAGTCACTTTTAAGATACTTAATTTTTGCACTGTACAGGTGGCTTATTTTTATTTCAAACCCAGAAATCAGACTTTTAGTCTGATTAGTTTCAGAAAACAGACTTTTAGTAAAGAAACATTCAAGCTGCAAGTGCTTTAATTTCTTGCTTTTACAGTCAAAAATTTTGAAATTTAATTTTAAGAACTAAGAGTTTTTCAGAAACTTAGATTTTAAATCTAAATCAAAGGATTTAAAATCTAAATAAAGGATCTATAATCTAAGTCAAAGGATCTAAATCTTTAAATCTAACAATAAGGATTTGAAAAATTCTTAGTTCTTAAAATTACATTTCAAAATTTTTGACTGTAAAAGCATTTCCTTAATATTGGAAAAACATTTAGAAAATTTAAATAATGCTGCGCAAGTTTCATGGGGATAAATCTAAAAATCCGAATTTTAAGTACAAAAACACTTATGATATGAAATATAAAAAAATAACCTTCAAAACCGCTTGTTTGCCACACTTTGCAGAGCACGTAACTGTCATTTTTAAAGAAACATAAATAGATTTGTTATAAAACACTAAAAATTTTTAAGGTACAAAGAATGTTAACAATTGTCACTTAGTTGACATCTTGAAAGTTTAAAAAACCTCACGAAATCAGCACATGGTAAGGTAAATTCAGGGTTCCACTTTTAGCATAATCGTTGAATTTTAAGGTTTTGCTAGGTCTACTTTCTACTATAGTGACGCTAGAATCGTAAATTCGTAAATTTGCGTAGTAAAATTAAAGGCAGAGTCTCTGTTATTTCAACACGAGTTGAATGACGAATTTCAAAATGGACGCAAACTGGCTGACACTGCTCTTCATGGGGTACACAATTTTTTTTTCTATACAAATTTCGAATCTATGAATTCTCAATTGGAATTTTAGTCGTTAACGAATTTTAATTCTTTGACGAATCCCGCTTTCAGTGGATTTTCTTAAAAATTAAAGAGCTACTATTTTTATAGAATTATAAAAGCGAATTTGAATTTTGTATCGTTTTTTAACGAATTTCGTTTTTAACGGACTTTTTTAAAATTTGAAGCTGCTTTGAGGTTTGAATAATTTTTAATTAGGGGATAATTTTATTGAATTTCATTCAACGAAGTCAACGAAGTCAACGAAATTGAACCAAACGGACGAAAGTCAGCTGCCAACCACCTAGCGTCCATCTTGAATTTCCCCCTCCAAAACTCGATCCACCTTTCTTCTCCTCCATTAAGCTTCATTCCTACAGCCAATGTGTTGAACTTCAGCATTGCTCAGCATCTGTCACATAATTCTGAAATGGAAAAATTATATAAAAATATACAATTTTTCTTTCATTGATAAAGAATATTAATTTCCTTAAAATACGCGGTTGAAAACTGAAAACAGTTTTTATATAAAATTTCCTAATTTACAGATTTTTAATTTTGTATAAATTTAGCAAATAATGAAGTAAGTAAAGATGACGAAAGGTAAATTTTAATTGTAATGGAAGTAAAAAAAAACACTAAAAATATAAAAAATTTGTATTTCTTGGAAAATTCGACCGCTCTACTGATTTTTGAAGATAAAGCACTGACTGTTAAATATTTAGTGTTTATGATTTTTCTTGTGTCTACTATATTTATATTTATATAGGGCGCGTGGGTTACTATTTTATTTTAGTGTTTGTTGTTGCTTACACATTTGCAGTTTGTATAGTACTACGCACACGCTGAAAATATCTTGCCCCTATAATCAGACAAACGAGCCTTTCTCGTGGAAAACACGATCGATGAGACGTGTACAGACAATAAATGCAGGCAACTCGAGAAAATATATAGCATAAATGTCGGCATTTCTACACTTGACTTCTTTTTTTTTAAAAGAAGAAAACTGTACGATTAAAAATTTTATTATACAAATAAAAAATTTTATGTTTTCTAAATTTCAATGATATTTTATTATAGCGCAAAATTACATTTTTTTAGTACATATTTTTTTCATTCTATGCATCAAATATATGATAACAATTTTACGATTGAATTTTGAGATTTAATTTTCAGATTCAATTTTAAGATTCAATTTTAAGGAACAATTTTAAGGGGTAATTTTAAGGTACAATTTTAAGGCACAATTTTAAAGTGTAATTTTAAGGTACAATTTTAAGGTCACTGTTAAATTAAAATTATGAAATTGATACCAAAAAGTGGACCGAATCATAATTTGATCTAAATTTTTTAGTATTATACTTTGACCCAATCTGGTTTCAATTTGATACTTTCAAGAAAACTGTGGTACAATTTTAAGATAAAATTTTAAGAAATACAATTTTTGAGGAACAACTTTAATGTACCTACAATTTTAAGAAATACTATTTTATGGTATAATTTTAAGATAAAATTTTGAGAAATACAATTTTAAAGAACAATTTTAAGGGACAATTTTAAAGTACATATAGCAAATGATAAACAACAGTCAAAATGAAACAATCCTATTTTGGAAACAAATGAATCTAGAAAAGTATAAAATCAGTTATTTAACATATAAAATTAAACATAACGTTGAAGCAGATTGTGAAATGTAAATGAATGTGGTTCAATTTTGCGCTTATTTAAACTATATAGTTTTTGATATGCATTTTCGTGTGTTCGTTTAATAAATAAATTATACTACTTGAACTATAAGGGTAATTAGGAAATGTAATCCAAATAAGACTATTCAAATTTGTGCTTTCCACGAGTTACATACAGCTAACAAGTCTTATTTAGCTTAAGGGTGTGCAACTTGAACCGCAAATTCTGGCACGACCCACGCATATTTTCCGAGAATGCATCTAGAGGGTGCTCTAATTGTGCGCTAAATGCATTTAAGCTTTTCCATAATTGATGTCATCCGTTATGAACCCATGAAAGGTGTAATGTGCCACTTAACACAAGGTGGAGATTGGCAATGCTCAAGCACTTCTTCGTAAGCTATCTTTTACTATTTTACTATTTTTTTTACTAAATTTTAGTATATTTTACTAAATTTTACTATATTTGACTATATTTTACAAAATTGTACTATATTTTACTATACTTTTACTATTTTTTTGCTATTATACTACATTTTCCTACGTTTTTCTATATTATTCTAGTTTTTTTGCTATTTTACTATATTTTACCACGTTTTTCTATATTTAACTATATTTTACTAAATTTTACTATATTTTACAATTTCTATTTGCTTTTTTACTATATTCTACTATTTTTTTGTTATTTCACAAGATTTTTCTACGTTTTCCTCCGTTTCTTTTTATTTTACTAAATTTTACAATATTTTACTACATTTTATTATTTTTATTTGCTATTCTACTATATTATACCATTTTTTTGCTATTTTACTATGATTGTTTTCCTAAATTTTTCTATATTTTACAATTTTTTTGCAATTTTACTATATTTTACTATTTTTTTTGTTATTTTAATACATGTTACTATTTTTTTTGCTTTTTATTATATTTTACTACATTTTACTATATTTTACTAATTTTTTGGCTAATTTACTATACTCTCCAAACCTGAATCAGTAAAATTTGACTGAGAATCAGTGACTCTTTTCTCGTGATTTGAATCAATGAAATTTCACTGAAGATCAGTTATAAATGATTGAAATTTCAGTCATTTTTCACTGATTACACAGTAAAACGTGAAGTGTTAAAATAACACCAGAATGGTTTAAAATAATCTGCAACAGTTTAATCCCTCTAGGATTAAATTAACACCAGAAAGGATTAAAATAATCTATTTTGGTCTTATTTTTAACTATGAATGAAATTTTACTTTAAATAAAACATCAAAGTCAACGATTTGTAAAAATTCAACGAATTCAGCTTCTTCAGGGAGAATAGTAAGTTAGTAAGTTAGTTACTAACTTACTAACTAACTTAGTAACATAGTTACTAAATTCAATTGTGTTAAAGAATTTTTTTAAATTCTCGTCAAAATTTCCATTCTCTTTATAAATAATAAAATTCTTCTCTGATATTCAATTATTTTACAAAATTTTAATCAAATTCTTGTCCAAATTTCAATCATTTTCAAAAAATTTCTAAAATTCAATGATTTTCAATATCTACTATTTCAATAAAATTTTCCAAAAGAATTCCATTATTAAAAAAAATTGAATAAAATTCTACGCAAACATTCAATTATTTTCATAAATAATTCAAATTTTTACAGGAATTCAATTATTTACAAATTTTTTTATAAATTTCTTCGCAATAATTCAATTATTTTCATAAATAATAACATTTTTACAAGGGATTCAATTATTTTTATAAATAATAAAATTCTTTTACGAATTCAATTCTTTTCAGAACAATTTCAATAGAATTCCTCGAAAGAATTTAACTTTTCAAATATTAACATAAAATTCATTTATTTTGTAAAATTTTAATAAATTCATCAGAACAATTCAATTATTTTTATAAATAGTAAACTTCTTCGCAATAATTTAATTATTTTCAATAAAAATTTAATAAAATTCTTCTTTATAAAATTCAATTGCTTTCAAAATTTTTAATTGAAATTATTAAAGAAACTCCATTAGTTTAAAAAATATTCAAAGAAATTATTCAAAAGAATTTAATTAGGATTTTTAAATATTTTAATAAAATTTTTTGCGAGAATTTAGTTCTTTTCCTAAATAATAAAATTCTTTCAAGGAGTTCTATTACTATCAAATTTTAAAAAAAAATTCTTTGCAATAATCAATGATTTTCAATATGTATAAAATTCAAAATATTTGAAAAGAAAAAATTATAAATTGTTAGAAAGAAATGAATTAGTTTAAATACAATTAATAAAATTTTTCGCGGTGCCGTGAAGCTAGCGACCTGCCATCCGCCAGACGCCTAAAAAATCCATTGGCATCGCAACCGAATAATTCAAAATGATCAATTCTTCATTCTTCCTTTTTCGCGATAATTTATTTCACTATAAAGTTGAATACAAATATTCTACGAACAAATGGCAACAACAAAATCAATTGTCTATTATAACAATTGAATATTTTAAAGCTCTTAGATGCGCAAAACTCGAAAATTCAATTGTCTGCTAATTAGCAGAAGAAATATTGTGACTAGTAATTTAGCCAAAATTATTTTACTAAACGAAATTCTTATAAATAAACATATAATGAACAATAGGCAACAACAAATCAATTGTTAATAAACAATTGATTTTGTTGTTGCCTATTGTTCCTTAAAAGTTTCTTAACAAGAATTTATTTTAGTGAAATAATTTTGGTAAAATTACTAGTCAAAATACTCCATCCGCCAATTAGAAGACAATTGAATTTTCGAGTTTTGAGAAGCAAAGAGCTTTAAAAAATTTATATTTTAATAAACAATTGATTTTGTTGTTGCCTATTGTTCCTTAGATGTTTCTTAACAAGAATTAGGTTTAGTGAAATAATTTTGGTAAAATTACTTGTCAAAATACTCCATCCGCCAATTAGCAGACAATCGAGTTTTTGAGTATTGTGAAGCATGGAGCTTTAAAAAATTTATATTTTAATAAACAATTGATTTTGTTGTTGCCTATTGTTCCTTAGGTGTTTCTTAACAAGAATTTATTTTAGTGAAATAATTTTGGTAAAATTACTTGTCAAAATACTCCATCCGCCAATTAGCAGACAATCGAATTTTTGAGTATTATG